TCCCAGACTGGCCATTAAGTGTGGTCCAGCTATAACCCAACCGACACTAAAGAGGGGTGGATGAGGGGTGTCACCGGGGTGGGGGTTTCATCAGTACCAGATCCACTAATTGTCAAGACCTTGAGTTTACTACGGAAACCCTAGAACTAATCCTGGATCAGCTGAAGTTTGGTTTCTCCGCTCGTATCAAACAAGTTCACCAAGGGAAGCAATTCATACATTATAAAAGAAAGCTCTACATCCGCTCCGTTAAGACCGGTCACAATAAACTGTAGCTTGCAGTGTTCCTTTCAGGCATCTCCTTGAGGTTTGTACCCCCGCCAAGCACGGCTACCCGACCCCACACACACGAACGGAATAAAAAATATACACGAATAAAATAAACACGGAATGATCTCCCCTGAACTTTCTCGAATATTCTTATATAACACTACAGGGGATGGCAACTCGGGATATAGACATTATTTTAAATCCATTTTTAATTACTTAAACTTTTTATAATAGAATAGAATCTCGTAGAAAAAATAATTGCATACCAAGTGAACGCCAAACAAAATGTGCATAATAGTACGGGATATTATTAGTACTTTATAAATTCACATGCGGTTTTTTCGGATATCGGAAAAAGTGTAAATTACTACTTCCGGTCAACGGAAATTGCTCAAAATTTTATAGAATGCAGAGAATTATATCTTTTACTTATATGCGAAATTTCATTTATCTATATGAAATAGTACTCAAGTTATAGGCTTTTGAAAAATTGAAAGTAGAAAAAGTTTCACTTCCGGTTATCAGAAATCGCTGAAAAGTTGATACGAATCTACAAATTTGATATAATACTTATGAAATTTCATCAACCTAGCTGTAACGGTACTCAAGTTATCGTGTTTACAGACACATATACATACACACACACATACCCACACAGACATACGGACAAAATTCAAGACTATGTTCTTCCGACTCAGTGAGGTGTAAAACGTCGAGATTGGCAAAAATCTCTATTTTTTTTACGATTACAAGACTTTCTCTATACTTCGTTTATACGAGAAAGTAGAAAAAGGCAACAAAGTTGTAAAATATGCAGAGATGTTCATAACGTGACGCCGTCTTTTCGCTGTCAGGTTTTAAAATCTGTTTCTATAAAAGAGATATTTTTAGGTTTGGTAATTTATTTTTCAGATTGTTTCTCCATGGCTTGTTAATTATCAAACTGTGTTAATTACTTATTAGGTGAACGACATGTTGAAAAGAGAGAAAAAAAAGCCCTTTTCATGTTAATGAATAATGAGGTATAGCTTTTATGAACTCACGCTAATGACCGACCTGACGTTATTTTATGGATCTGTGTCTGGATTATATGCGCAGGTAAAGAACGTTCACCTTGCCGGAAATACTACTATGGGGATCAGAAGACGGAGTCAATAGACTCCCCAGAAGTTGGAGTCACATGATTCAAAGACTAGCAGTTTTTTTTTCTAGACTTTCAGAGAAGCAGAGATTACATTCATGGAACATTGTGTCAGTTGTTGGTAGTTTTAGACCAGAGATAGATCAAATACATGGAACATTGCGTCAGTTGTTGGTAGTTTTAGATCAGAGATAGATCAAATACATGGAACATTGCGTCAGTTGTTGGTAGTTTTAGACCAGAGATAGATCAAATACATGGAGCATTGCGTCAGTTCTTGGTAGTTTTAGACACGAGATAGATCAAATACATGGAACATTGCGTCAGTTCTTGGTAGTTTTAGATCAGAGATAGATCAAATACATGGAACATTGCATCAGTTCTTGGTAGTGTCAGAAAGCTAGAGATAGCTCAACACTTAGTTCAAATACTAGGACCTAGGACCTTACACAAAGGATGACATATATAGAACAATGCATAAAGTAAAACACACACAGAGCAATACAGTTTAGGGCTCATATTGAAAACATCCTAAGCTCTCAACAATTTCTAGCAAAGAATGACTTAACGCAAAAAACAATGCATAAACTTTACCAGTTCATCCTATTAATCAAGACTCCTAATTTACTAATTTAGAGACAAAAAATATATTGGTAAATGATAAAACTGTTAAAGACAGTTGCATAAATTCAGCTGTAAAATAAATAATTAAATAAATTATAAAATGGTATCATTAAGGCAGTCTTAACGGTTTTATCGCCTTTATTGTAATATTAAATTTAAATATAAGCTGACTTGACCCCTTTGCCACGAGACGAAAAGATCGCTCTATCTAACAATATTTTGACAAAGTAATTGCTTTATTTTACAAAATTTTGTCGAGGAAAAAACCAGTCTATTTAGATGCACGCAATTTTCAACAGGTAATTCAAGGTCATTAACCCCTCCACGAAGATGAAAGCTTTAGATCATTTTCAAGTGAAGATTTTCATCATGATTAAGGAAAAAATTAACGAATTATCTTTGATATTAATTTGTTATCACGTAAAAAATAAATTGCATTAAAAATATCTGACACACAATACGTCAGGATAAAATTTTGAAATTGGAAGTTCAAATTTTTTCTGGCCTCTACTTGTGAATTTTTTTTTTCTGTGTAAAAATCTTAAATGTAATCACATATACTATTGATATATATCATGTGACATATATCATGTGACATATCATGTGACACAGCTTTTGAATAGGGCGTTGCTTTGTCTATCAACAAGACAGAGTTTCTTTTAGACATCTCTTCTGGGGTGTGTGGTGGGTGGGTGTGGCCTAAGGGGTCATCCATAAATGACGTCACGCTTTTTTGAAGATTTTTACCTTCCCCCCTCCCCTCAGTCACACGTCGTCACAAAAAGCCAGACCCCTACCTAAAACGTCACACCTCAACCTACAACCCCCCTCAAAATTGCAGTTGAATTTTTTTAAAACATCGATATTTTTCTAAAATCTTGTCTAAACTATTACAATTACTATTACATTGCTTTTTATAATGCAAAAGTGTGACGTCGCGACATCTGACCCCCATCCCCCCTCCTCCTCATCACACATCGTCACCTCCCCCCTACGAGTGTGACGTCATTTATGGATGACCCTTAAGGGACAATACCTCCTCCTTGAAGCCCGTCCACCCCCACCCCACACCGGACGAAATAAAAAGGAAATTATATAGTAAATAATAGCTCAAATTCAAGTGCCCCCCCCCCCCCTTTAAAAAGTTCTCCCGGGGAAAAAAAACTAAAAAAAGAAACCCTACACACAGACAGACACGACAACGCTTAGATAAACAAACACTTGGCCTCTATGTAGCGCGTGGGGGGTGTGTCAGCCACGTGACTTATTTTATATTCAAACCAAACACGTGACACACGTTAACCATATAAACAAACGGATCATGTGACACACCTACGCGGGTATTGTTCCACATAAAAACGACTCGCATTACAACAGAACTTTTTTCAGATATTTTTTTTTACGGGTGGGGGAGGGAGTGGGGTGGGCGGGGGCGGAGGCAGAGGCGCACATACTTAAAATTCTCGGTGATGAGGGGGGGGGGGGACACAGGATGTTTAAATCATATATTTTCTATATCAATTATATATGTTTGTCATAAAAAGCCAACCTGCAACGAACCCTTTCTATTTAAATAGACCAATCACGCGGTTAAGTAGCCGCGTGACTAAATCTATCATCAAATAAATAAGACCACGTGACCTACCTCTCTATACAAACAACCACGTGACCTACCTCTGTATACAAACAACCACGTGACCTACCTCTCTATACAAACAACCACGTGACCTACCTCTCTATACAAACAACCACGTGACCTACCTCTCTATACAAACAACCACGTGACCTACCTCTCTATACAAACAACCACGTGACCTACCTCTATACAAACAACCACGTGACCTACCTCTTTATTTAAACAATCACGTGACCTACCTCTCTATACAAACAACCACGTGACCTACCTCTCTATACAAACAACCACGTGACCTACCTCTCTATACAAACAACCACGTGACCTACCTCTCTATACAAACAACCACGTGACCTACCTCTCTATGCAACCACGTGACCTACCTCTCTATACAAACAACCACGTGACCTACCTCTCTATACAAACAACCACGTGACCTACCTCTCTATACAAACAACCACGTGACCCACCTCTCTATACAAACAACCACGTGACCCACCTCTCTATACAAACAACCACGTGACCTACCTCTCTATACAAACAACCACGTGACCTACCTCTCTATACAAACAACCACGTGACCTACCTCTCTATACAAACAACCACGTGACCTACCTCTCTATACAAACAACCACGTGACCTACCTCTCTATACAAACAACCACGTGACCTACCTCTCTATACAAACAACCACGTGACCTACCTCTCTATACAACCACGTGACCTACCTCTCTATACAAACAGCCACGTGACCTACCTCTCTATACAAACAGCCACGTGACCTACCTCTCTATACAAACAACCACGTGACCTACCTCTCTATACAAACAACCACGTGACCTACCTCTCTATACAAACAACCACGTGACCTACCTCTCTATACAAACAACCACGTGACCTACCTCTCTATACAAACAACCACGTGACCTACCTCTCTATGCAACCACGTGACCTACCTCTCTATACAAACAACCACGTGACCTACCTCTCTATACAAACAACCACGTGACCTACCTCTCTATACAAACAACCACGTGACCCACCTCTCTATACAAACAACCACGTGACCCACCTCTCTATACAAACAACCACGTGACCTACCTCTCTATACAAACAACCACGTGACCTACCTCTCTATACAAACAACCACGTGACCCACCTCTCTATACAAACAACCACGTGACCTACCTCTCTATACAAATAACCACGTGACCTACCTCTCTATACAAACAACCACGTGACCTACCTCTCTATACAAACAACCACGTGACCTACCTCTCTATACGAACAACCACGTGACCTACCTCTCTATACACACAACCACGTGACCTACCTCTCTATACACACAGCCACGAGGGTGAGTACTGACGAGTAGAGCGCACACACGAGCACCGTCCTGTCCGTAGAGCAGGCGACCTGACCCAGCTGCCAGCCATTGTTCATCATGAACTGGACGATCTCCGGTAGGCCAAACACCATGATCAGAGAGTCGGCCAGAGCCAGGTTCAGGATTAGCATGTTGGTCATTGACCTGTGGATTAGTGGGATTAGGATTAGCATGTTGGTCATTGACATGTGGATTAGTGGGATTAGGATTAGCATGTTGGTCATTGACATGTGGATTAGTGGGATTAGGATTAGCATGTTGGTCATTGACATGTGGATTAGTGGGATTAGGATTAGCACGTTGGTCATTGACCTGTGGATTTGTGGGGTTAGGATTAGCATGTTGGTCATTGACCTGTAAATAAGTGGGGTTAGGATTAGCATGTTGGTCATTGACCTGTGGATTAGTGGGGTTAGGATTAGCATGTTGGTCATTGATCTTTGGATTAGTGGATTAGCATGTTGGTCATTGACCTGTGGATTAGTGGGGTTAGGATTAGCATGTTGGTCATTGACCTGTAAATAAGTGGGGTTAGGATTAGCATGTTGGTCATTGACATGTGGATTAGTGGGATTAGGATTAGCACGTTGGTCATTGACCTGTGGATTTGTGGGGTTAGGATTAGCATGTTGGTCATTGACCTGTAAATAAGTGGGGTTAGGATTAGCATGTTGGTCATTGACCTGTGGATTAGTGGGGTTAGGATTAGCATGTTGGTCATTGATCTTTGGATTAGTGGATTAGCATGTTGGTCATTGACCTGTGGATTAGTGGGGTTAGGATTAGCATGTTGGTCATTGACCTGTAAATAAGTGGGGTTAGGATTAGCATGTTGGTCATTGACATGTGGATTAGTGGGATTAGGATTAGCACGTTGGTCATTGACCTGTGGATTTGTGGGGTTAGGATTAGCATGTTGGTCATTGACCTGTAAATAAGTGGGGTTAGGATTAGCATGTTGGTCATTGACCTGTGGATTAGTGGGGTTAGGATTAGCATGTTGGTCATTGATCTTTGGATTAGTGGATTAGCATGTTGGTCATTGACCTGTGGATTAGTGGGGTTAGGATTAGCAATTTGGTCATTGACCTGTAAATAAGTGGGGTTAGGATTAGCATGTTGGTCATTGACCTGTGGATTAGTGGATTAGCATGTTGGTCATTGACCTGTGGATTAGTGGGGTTAGGATTAGCATGTTGGTCATTGAGCTGTAAATAAGTGGGGTTAGGATTAGCATGTTGGTCATTGACCTGTGGATTAGTGGATTAGCATGTTGGTCATTGACCTGTGGATTAGTGGGGTTAGGATTAGCATGTTGGTCATTGACCTGTAAATAAGTGGGGTTAGGATCAACATGTTAGTCATTGACATGTGGAAAAGTCTCGAGTTCGAACCCTCGGGCAAATGATATTCTTCTAGGAGAAAGTTTCCCTTTCAAACCTGACGGTCTATGGGGCAAGTGAAGTAGAGTTTACTTGTTTCTGTGACCTTGGCATATAAGGAGATAGTGTGGTCATCACTATGCCCAGCAGCCTTTACTTTCCCTAACGTGAGTTAGGTACCCATCAGAGTTGGGTGGACTCAGGGACGGTCTACTTGAACCCGGATTCGAACTTGAGACTTACGGGTTAGCAATCCAGTTCTCTACCGATAGAACACTCCGTCCCACATTCTAGGAGAGATAACTCTAAAATCAAACAGTTTGTTCTTGGTTGGACAAAAGCAAATCCAAAAAGAATAAAATACTTAAAAAAAAACTTTTTAAAAAACCACGTTTTTCTTGTGGACTAAAAAGTAGAAAATAACTATTTACATACATTTGATGACAAAAAACGTGGGTACGTTCACCATCAAATTTCCCGACCCATCTGCCCGACCCACGTTTTTTGTCATCAAATGTATGTAAATAGTTATTTTCTACTTTTTAGTCCACAAGAAAAACGTGGTTTTTTAAAAAGTTTTTTTTTAAGTATTTTATTTTCTCCTTTTTAGTCCGTTGCTACACATGAAAAACGTGGTTTTTAAAAAAGTGTTTATAAATACACGGACTAAAAAAATCTTGAGCGACCAGGATTCGAACCTGGGTTGTCGCGGCCACAACGCGAAGTACTAACCACTATACGATCACGGCCAGCGCGCTCACATCGATTGGGGCCGAAGTAACTGTGTCTATAGGCCTCCAGTCTTGTCGGTATCTTTAGAAATCATGTCCTCAATTTTATGGTCCTTGGGGCGTAATTAAATTAAGCTAATTACGGTCTCTAATTGCTAGTTTTTATGATTGCATCTGAAATTGTTAGGCGAAAGTAACCTGCATGCCAAATTTCAGAACTATAGAACAATCAGAAGTGGGCTAATTTTCGATGTCAATTTTAACAACAAACACATCCACGCGAAGCTGAGTTAATAAAAACGTGTTAAAAACAGGCTCAAATCGGAGTCAATGGCCTCAATGGGCGCATAGCCAGTTTACACTTATACTTAATTATGTTTGAGGGATCTCTTCCAACATTCAGAACGAAGAAGAGGAAGAAGATTTTATTATTTAATCCTGTCGTTGGCGATATATTTTAAAGCAGCATTGATTTCAATGCCATTTGAATATAAAACGAAATTTTAAAAAATAATAAATTGATGTATGCGATTGTTGCTGCCAAGGTCATGGCCTTGACTGCCATCCAAGATTGCGGCTAGATTAGCTTTATTGAAGATCCGGGCAGGATCATGCCCTGTGGATACATTCCTCAATAACAAAACTTATCAATCTCTTAACATTAGACGCTCATTCGTGAAAAAAGATATTCGGCAACGCTTATTTCCCATTTTCCAATTTAAAAAGAAAATTGTTTTATAAAAAAAAATAAATAGAAACATATTTTTGACAAGGTTGCGTTTTATTTACCACGAGCCGACCCGCGGCGTATCACACGCCGCTATTTAGTTGTTTTTTCTACTTTTCAGTAATTCATAATTTGTGAATTCGACAGTACCATTGCTGTCACTGAAAAAATTTGCTTTAAAACACTAAAACCCTCCTCCCCCCCCCCCCAGGGATTACGACTACTAACCCAAAATTTGGCATTGTGTTTAAAGGACGTCTTTGAGCCCACAGAGCTTAAATAAATACCTGACTCACGTTTGGGAAATTAAAGGTGGCTGGGCGTTTATACCTCCATATGCAGGGTTCACAGGAGAAACTCTACTTCATCTGTCCTTTTGGAATTACAACAAGAGTTTTCAAACGAACACACACATAGTTCTTAAGGTCGAGGTTCGAGTAGCCTCAACCCCCACTTCCCACACACTGATGACCTCAACCCCCACTCCCACACACTGATGACCTCAACCCCACCCCCACACACTGATGACCTCAACCCCCACTCCCACACACTGATGACCTCAACCCCACCCCCACACACTGATGACCTCAACCCCCACTCCCACACACTGATGATCTCACCCCCCACTCCCAAACACTAATGACCTCAACCCCCACTCCCACACACTGATGATCTCAACCCCCACTCCCACACACTGATGATCTCAACCCCCACTCCCACACACTGATGACCTCAACCCCCATTCCCACACACTGATGATCTCAACCCCCACTCCCACACACTGATGATCTCAACCCCCACTCCCACACACTGATGATCTCAACCCCCACTCCCACACACTGATGACCTCAACCCCCACTCCCACACACTGATGATCTCAACCCCCACTCCCACACACTGATGATCTCAACCCCCACTCCCACACACTGATGACCTCAACCCCCATTCCCACACAATGATGACCTCAACCCCCACTCCCACAAAATGATGATGCCAACCCCCACTCCCACACACTGATGATCTCAACCCCCACTCCCACACACTGATGACCTCAACCCCCATTCCCACACAATGATGACCTCAACCCCCACTCCCACAAAATGATGACCTCAACCCCCCTCCCACACAATGATGACCTCAACCCCCACTCCCACAAAATGATGACCTCAACCCCCACTCCCACACACTGATGACCTCAACCCCCATTCCCACACAATGATGACCTCAACCCCCACTCCCACAAAATGATGATGCCAACCCCCATTCCCACACACTGATGACCTCAACCCCCACTCCCACACACTGATGATCTCAACCCCCACTCCCACACACTGATGACCTCAACCCCCATTCCCACACAATGATGACCTCAACCCCCACTCCCACAAAATGATGATGCCAACCCCCATTCCCACACAATGATGACCTCAACCCCCACTCCCACAAAATGATGATGCCAACCCCCATTCCCACACACTGATGACCTCAACCCCCACTCCCACACACTGATGATCTCAACCCCCACTCCCACACACTGATGACCTCAACCCCCATTCCCACACAATGATGACCTCAACCCCCACTCCCACAAAATGATGATGCCAACCCCCATTCCCACACACTGATGACCTCAACCCCCATTCCCACACAATGATGACCTCAACCCCCACTCCCACAAAATGATGATGCCAACCCCCATTCCCACACACTGATGACCTCAACCCCCACTCCCACACACTGATGATCTCAACCCCCACTCCCACACACTGATGACCTCAACCCCCATTCCCACACAATGATGACCTCAACCCCCACTCCCACAAAATGATGATGCCAACCCCCATTCCCACACACTGATGACCTCAACCCCTACTCCCACACACTGATGACCTCAACCCCTACTCCCACACACTGATGACCTCAACCCCCATTCCCACACACTGATGACCTCAACCCCTACTCCCACAAAATGATGATGCCAACCCCCACTCCCACACACTGATGACCTCAACCCCTACTCCCACACACTGATGACCTCAACCCCCACTCCCACACACTGATGACCTCAACCCCCATTCCCACACAATGATGACCTCAACCCCCACTCCCACAAAATGATGATGCCAACCCCCACTCCCACACACTGATGACCTCAACCCCCATTCCCACACACTGATGACCTCAACCCCCATTCCCACACACTGATGACCTCAACCCCTGTCCCGCACTCTAATGAACTCAACCCCCACTCCTACACATTAAACTTTACCACCACCCACACACTAATGAACTCAACCCCCACTC